AATCAAAGAGTTGTCCAAGTGCACCAGAGCACAGAGACCATCGTCCACCCCATCCAAGTTTTTCCCGTTGCATAATGTCACTTGTACAAAGAGACGGTCTTCAATTTAGAAATGGAAGTAAGGAGACTAGAACCAGAGTATTCAATTGCTAACTAAATACAATTTTTAAATACAATTCCTAAGACATGATTATTTATTCTGTAAAGCACCAACAAATGCTTAGTTTAAATTCTGTCTTCAGTTACACCCTTGAAACTCTTGCATGGAAAAACCAAGCCTTATTTTTTACATAATCCCCAGCTGGAGTTCATTTAGCAAGAGCTGACTATTTTCAAGTGCCTCTATTGTTGAAAGTCACGTAAAACTAAGCAAACATTTTATGTACACAGTACTTTAAAAGGTGATCTTAATGTTTGGGGTCGCTTATGCCTTATAGAAGGGTTATTTGTCAGAAAACATGGGCAAAATTATAAATTAAATGAAAAAAGACTTAATTAAAGAGCCCATAAAACAAAAATTATTGGACTATTCATAGCAGTGAGAGCTACCAAAACTGGTTTTTCAGGTCATGGGTGGAGAAGACTGCTTTGAAAGAAACTAAGTTTTGAAACTGTAAGTAGTATAACATCACCTACGAAGTCAGAATACTTTTTTTTTCTATATTTGTTTTCACTTAGAAACATAAAACATAAAATAGATTTAGAAGTGGCTCTTTTATATATCGTACAGAAGGATTTTTTTCACAGATGACATTCTTATTGCTCTACGCCCTTTTATCTCAATGATTTTCAATCAAGAAACCAATTACCTTTTTGTAAAGAACTGTGTTTTTTATATTATAATGCACCAAAATGACAGTTTCAGATTAAAAGAGTTTAGTTTTACTATGTGGACTTTTTCAAATTAGTGGCTACTGTAAACTTCCCCCATAGTTAAATCATAAAAAGTAACACATTGATAGGGTTTTCAGCATTCACCAAAAGCAAAAATCAAATAAATAAAATTACTTTATTATCCCACAACCTCTTCTGTCCCATATTTTCAGCTAAAGAAAGAAAGACCAGTGAAAGGAAAAATGCATAAAAGCTTTCATAGAAAGATAATATTTTTGTGATTTCTTAGTTGGTATAATAAAAGGAATAATCTCTGAACCAAGAGTTTTAGAGTTTTGCATTTCTTTTTGTCTCAAACCAACATGGCTAGCACATAGATCCATTAAAACACCTCTTAACTGAAAGCCGAGTAAATAGCCAGTTTGTCATTTGAAGTTCAAAATGTAATTAAGTAATTTCCAATTGACCAAGTGAGATAATGCAGATGATAATATGAGCACCGTGGCCATGCTTTTTAAATGTCCAGTGACTTTTGTTTGCTTAACCCAGGTCACCTTAAAGGGGCCCATTTTTGACACAGTAAGTATCCTATACTTCTGCAAATCAGGCAATAGGCACTTTTGAAAATCTTGAACTCTAAATACATAGTACAAAAACCTCAAACCTTACCTCTTATATCATAAAGAACCAGCACCCTGTAGCCAGCCCACAAAAGGGAGTATCTAAGTAGCCACCCAGAAGTCTGCTGCAGTCAAAATTTAGAGAGTAGTAACGTTGTCTACCTTGACACTGTCTGAATAGTTCAGAAGCTTCTCCTCTGGAAGCTGAGTCACTTAAGGAGAGGTGGGAGGCGTAGAAAAGGGTGTTACATAGTATAAATACCAATTCAGTTAAAAATACCTCCGAGTTTGTTGTATTCCTGTGCTCTACATAAGGTAAGGCCACATTTCTCAAAGTAAATGTTTCTGAGCTCTGTCAGCAACCCACAAGCCTTCTGTATTACAAAACCATATCATTTGTGGTTTAGTTGGGAGTCTCCCCTCCAAATACTTCATTAGGCAATGGACCTGCCTTTCAAACATATTTTAAAGAATATATTTACATGGCAGAAGTAAGCGTGGTAACACTTTCATCAAGGAGAAGTCTCCACACAGGTTGCGTGTGGAATACATGCTGGAATCTGAAACATGTTAAATATTTGCCTCATTTGGTTAGGTTAGCAGAAAGAAAAAAATCTGACAATGGAAATAAAAAGCAATCCTCCTTAACAGATCCTATTCCAGATCCCTGCTATCAGAGATTTAAGGTTACTACTCCTGTTCCTGTAGATTCATCAACAAAGCAAAATTCAATTGTCTGTAAGTTTTGCGTCTGTGGGTGGCAGGCAGGTAAAGACAAAAAGGCAGGCTGAGTTCTTTGCTGAATAAAATACTGGATGAAAAGATTCTGTTAGTGGGGCAGTTTGAAAATGCCAACAAACATCTCTACCTTGTTTCTGGCAGTGAAATGTTTACAGCAATTGGGGCTTGTTCAGAGAAATTATTTAGCATCTTGAATTTCTTAGAAAATGAAGTTACTTAGTGAATACATCTTCCTTTAATATAAGATGCTTCTAAACTGGAATAGGATTTTTTTCCCCATTTCAAGTGAACCAGAATGTGAATGGGTTGAAAAATTATACGCTCATTGAAATGGAAATGTATTTTTGTCTTTTAATGGTACCAAGGAATTTCTCTCTATTTGTACAGAATTGATTTCTCACTCTTCAGTTTAGGTGCTGGATAATATCCATTGACAAGGACAACAGAGGTAATCTTACGTTTTTTACAATGCTTCATTTGGCCAAAATTTTCAGAAAACAGATGAAAGCTTTAAACAGAGCTTGAGGAAAATTTAAAGTTCCAGCTTAAAAAGCCAGATACATTCACTGTATCACTGTGTTAGAACACACTGAAGAAAACTACGTGTCAGAGCCTGCCAGCTTTGGTTAAACACAAACAGATTTCTGTTAAGGTTTATGTTAACTATGTTGAGTTGGTGCAGATACAACTTAAAACCATACACACAAATGTTGTTAAATATAAGGTGAGCACAGAAAGGTATTGAGTGCTACTTAGGTACAGAGTAGACCAGGGTTCCCAAACTGTGGTATGTGTACCCATAGTGGTACGCAAGACATTTCTGGGCGTTACACAATTTGTCCTGAGTAATGGCAGATTTAATTTTCATTATAATAATTAGGGATGCACTGATAAACATTTTAATGGCTAATACCAATGATTAGCCAGCCATATTAGTCAATGCCAATCCAATAACTGATATTTAGTAATAGTACAAGGCATTTTAAACTACTGACATAAATAAACCTTTTTCTTGTTTGTTTTGCATTCATAACACACACACAAACACACATGCACCTCCTGCCTGGTTTGGTGGCACTGGCCGCTTTATTCCCAAGCACATCACCTCCTCACCCATGGCTCCTACCCACAGCCCCACTCCCCACACAGCCCATGCTGCTGTCCTAGGCAGACAGCAGCACCAGGTGCATTTGGAGCCCCAGAGCATGCAGCTACCTCTGCACTGGTGGGCCCCGCACAGCCGAGCTCCTGTGGCTGCCAGGGAGAAGTCATTTTTGCAAAGGTACCTGGTGCCCAGTGGAACAGAATGTCCCTCGCGCAGCACCTTACCTCACCCACGTGCAGCCCAATGTCTCCACAGCAGCCCAGGCACTCAGGCTCCTGCTGCTTGTGCAGCATTGCCATGACAGTGGCAGCAGCAGCAGGAGCTGGTAACAGTCCCTTTGTTGCTGAGCACAGTGCCCTGTGACTGCTCCCTGGTGCCCCTCCTGCTGCTCGCTGGAACCTGTAGCCTGCCATGGCTGGCAGTGGGGCATAAGGACTGGACTACACTCAACAGGGTGCTCCGGGCACACAGCCCTAATGATCAGCTACAATGACCAAAAAAGCTGATACTGTCATTTCTCCCTTTATTGGGGTTGATTGCCAACTGATATATTGATGCACCCCTATTAATAATAACTGGTATTTGGGCTAAATACAGACAATCAAGAAGCCCAAGGCTGAATTGATTCAATCTTTGCAGGTTAGTTTAAACTACATAGATTGAATTGAGAAGCAAGTGAACAGACATTCACTTTTGATTCACAAAATGTAGCCACATGCCTTCAGTGGCTCAAGCTAGAAAATGGGGGCACTAGACCAAGCCTTCCCTTCACTTTAGCCTTCTCTTACTCAGGCTGAATAGGCCCAGTTCCCAGAGTCTCTCGTCATAGGGACTATCTTCCATGCCCCTGACCATACAGGTGGCCCTTCTTTGTATCCTCTCAAGCTTACCCATGTCCTTCTTGACACTGAACTGGACACAGTACTCCAGCTGAGGCCCCTAATATATACTAGTGGCAGAGCACCTTTGGGGTGCTCACCACGTGGCAGGGGCTGCAGTAGTCTGGGGCAGAGCTCAGTAGGGAAGGCAGCCAAGTGAAGCCCACAGATCTCATTCTAAGGGGGGAGGCATATGGTGGAGCATCTTTGGGGGTGCTCACCACTTGAGGGCTCTCACAGGCTCTGAGGAGAGCCTGCTTTGGAGAAGCAGCAGGGGAAACCTTCCCCAGGTACCATTTTAAGGGGGAAGGTGTGGGGCAGGGCACTGCTGGTTCCTGCCACTTTAAGCCTTGAGCCAAGCAGCCAGCAGGTGCTTGATTGCAGCAGTCATTTTAGATCCCTGGCTACCTATATAAACAGGTCGGTTCCCTGCTGGCAGGCCAGGTAGCAACACTGCCTGGCTCTAAGGTTTCATGCATCACCTTGGAGGTAAGGGAGAAGTTATAGAGGATGGCTAGGAGGCTCTATTGTGGCTGCTAGCCCGTGGCCAAACACTAGAAGAATCTCAACCGATCAATGGAATCCACATTTAGGGGGTGAACTCCATGGCTGTGCAAACATCATCATTTTCTAGCTGAAATTTGATCTGAGGCCTGGGGGGTCTATAGGCAACTACTTTACCAGGTAAATCAAATGTCGGAAACAAAGTGGAAAAAAAAAGCAACATCTATAACAGGAAGTTGTACATAGGATGGAATTCATGCTCCTGGATAACCAACATGAAGCCTACATATCACTTATCTCTCCTTTATACCATTTCAGTGGGAGTGATATAATACCTGTGCTTTCTGCTCTCACTATGCACAAACATGGATTTCATCTACAATACAGATTAACCTGAGGGAACTCATTACTACAAGGTTTATTGAGGCCAAGATCCAAGGGTGACTCAGAACTGGACTGAACATTTATATGAATAATAGGAATGTTAGCACCAAATCAGAAATAAGAAGAGATAAATAAACACTACATTTCTTCATGGTTGACGGCATACACTGACAACTTACTGACAAGACTGACAAGATTAGGAACAAAGCTCTCTGTGAGCAGATTATTCCATAATTATCTCCCATGGGGTTGCTTGAACTTTCCACCAAAGCATCCGGTGCTGCCACAGCTAATAAAAGGACACAGAGTTAGAGGAATTTCTGTCATCATCCACTATGGAAATTCATATTTTCTAATGTTGAGTGTGGTTCTAACTAAGGCCCAGTGTTTTAAAGGTATTTAGTCAATCCTCCATTCAGGAATGCAAGGCCTAAATGGCCAAGCTATTCAGGTGTCTCTGTGTATGCCCAGCTAAGTCTTAGCACTACTGAGCTGTTAGACACTTAACTTGTATAAAACCTCCAACAGGATTCTAAAGCTAAACATGCTCCAGCCTCCAGGGCCCAATTCAGTGGGTCAGGGGTGGGTAAAATATGGCCTGCGGGCCAGATGCAGCCCACCAGGCCATTCTATCTGGCCCACAAGGCCCCTAAACAATTTAGAAAATTAATATTTATCTGCCCCCGGCTACCTGTCATGCAGCCCTTGATGGCTTGCCAAAACTCAGTAAGTGGCTCTCCACCCAAAATAATTGCCCGTCCCTGAGTAGATGATCCCAAAGCCTATCTAACCCTTACAGAACACAGGTGGGAACCCCTACCCTTCAATTTAACTTCCCCTGGTTAATCCCCTGGGGCCTGTTAGACCCACATTCAAGTCCTTTTTCTGCATGAGGGAACTTGAACCTACAGCTACCAACTCTTTTAACCACCAGACTATACAATATTCTGTGATGTTGCTTTCCTATTCTTTCCTGTTTATGTTTTTCCACCATGCCTGGTGTAATTAAACATCTTTGAGCAAGAGTAGCAATGACTATTATAGCCCAATGGTTAAGGGCTATAATTGCCCTTAGAAAGAGAGGTTTGGATTCTAGCTTTTCTCCAATTAGCATTTTAAAGGGGGGGGTGTATGCATGCATCTGTGTGCACGTGTTTTAGAAAAAGACAGTAGTGTAACTAGGACTGGGTCAGCAAGGCACCAACCCCAGCTACCAGCTGACCAAGGCACCAGCCCCAGGTACCAGCCTCAGGTGGGGTACTGGAATAGAGGATCCTAATGAGTCTGGATTGTGGTGGCAGCAGCAGCAGCTGTAGCCAGATGTAAGGACATTGTGATGCTCATATAGCAGCAGTCAGAGTATGTTATAGCCAGGGACCTCTACCCCTACCATTTCACTTGGGCTAGGGACAGAAGTTACACATAAACTGGTTTAAGTGATCAGAAACTGGTTTAAACCTGTAACAGAACGTAAGCTCAGTGCATCTAAACCAGTTTCAAAATGGTTGAAACTAATTTAAGATAAACTTAGAATCATAGAAACTTAGAACTGGAAGGGACCTGTGAGATCATCAAGTCTGGTCCCCTGCCATGGGCAGGTAGTTATTGGACTCAGATGAGCTCAACAAGGTGCCTATCCAGCCTCATCTTGAACACCTCCAAGGAGGGTGATTGCACCACCTCTGCTGGGAGTGTGTTCCAGATTCTGGTGACCCTTATAGAGAAGAAGTTCTTTCTTATATC